CGCTGGTTACCTTGCAGGTCACTACCACAAATGCGGCAGCCTTCACTTCGAGTGGTCATCATAAAAAGGTGCAGCAGGTGCCCTAATAATAATAATAATAGCACAATACAATAATAATAATAATAATAATTCAATAACAATAATAAAACAAATCTTTTAAAAAAATTCTCAAAAAGATTCTTCGAAAATTGTCATTGAGTGTTTCATGGAAAAAAATGAATTAATGATACAGCATGATACTGGCATCTGAGGGGCAATTTAAAGCTTCTAGAACAATATACATATACTTTACACACCTGAATAAATCTATCAGTAGTTAACTGTTGTCCTTTGGCTGGGGTGGATCTAGTGAATGACAGCTCACTCTCCCCCACTGACAATCTCAATGTTTACATGGGCTGAACACATTGGCCTTGAGCTCTAAACACACACACACACAAAATATGCTTTATAAAACAAAATTGATGCGTTTATTGAAAACTATAACTGGACACCACGCTAGCATAGTTCATCCAAAAATCTAATTTATGTAATAATTTACTCACATAATGTTGTTCCAAACCTGCCTGGAACACAAAAGGAAACGTTAGGTGACTGACAGCCACAGTCACACTCACCATTTACTTTCTTTGCAACTTTTTCCATACAATAAAAGTGAATGACTGTGGCGGTCTGTCAGTCTGCCTAAAATCTCCTCCTCTGTTCCACAGAAAAAAGAAAGACTGTTAACTATTCCTTTCAAACAGATCTATGAAAAACTAGCACGAGCGCTTTAACTCAAATAAATTATGTAAATAAGTGACACGTTGGCAGAGAACTTTCCATACGATGACTAATCTCAGCAGCCCTCTGTTTCGCTCTCCGTGTGCTCATTCAAACATGATTTTAAACCTCTATCACAGCGATAAACTACGGCTGATAAAACCTCACGCGAAACTGACTTTTGTCTCCCGGAATGTCAGAATGACCCTGCTGAGGACAAAACATGATATGATAGACCAAACAACTCTTCAACACAGCCGTCAACTGACCTGATAAGTTACGAGAAACGAAAATATCCAATTACAAACGCAAACGGACAGATAAAATCGCTTTCCGAAGCTCAGGAAGTGTCTTCACGGTCTCGAGCAGAAGCTCTCGCGCGTCCAGACCGGAGTGGTAGCCGCCGCGCGCCGCTCTATCTTGCTGACGTCACCATAAAATACCTGTTGCAACTCCAGCTGTGTGCACAATTATGCGCATGCGGTAATAAACCATTATATCCGCGCGCGTGTGTGTGTGTGTGCAGGGGCGCCGCTAGCAATTTTGGGCCCTATGAAGTCTGATTGTTATCATAGGTGCATATTGTAGTTCAGTATATACAGAATTTGGAGAATTCTGCACGCGTTATTTACATGCATATTTTAGCGCCATTTATCGTGTGGTATTTAATATTATTGTATAGAGAAGATGTATACTGAGGTATATGTTTGTTTACTGTATACAGACGGATTCTGATATTTTATTTGTTTATTTCAGACTAAACCACACTTGCCACCTCTGTTAATTTAAGAACTGTACAATGCTGGATGATGTAAAGTGACACATCCTGAAGATATAAACCATTGAACAACCATCTGTCTCCTGTCGCACTTCTTGCTGGAGTTCCGTAGTGGACTAGCATTCCACCTAACTACAGAGAACAGATTCCTTTACACCTTGACACACACATACAGCATTTTGCAATTATTACAATTTTTATAACAATTTAATAATTTATTTTAGAATTTATTTGATTAAAACTGAATATTAGGCTTTCATTATCTCTGGTCGTAGGACAAAATAACTTGATCACAATATTCAAATAGATTTGACATAAATAGAAAATAGCTAGAAAACTATATATTTAAAAAATTCATTGTCTACAAAAAAAAAAATCTTAGGTGATTAATAAGTGTAAAATCATCTACACAAGACATGATTACATTGAGGATTGTGCGTATGCGTGTAACAAGATCAGTTTCCTTTTTTCCGTTGTCCTGACATTTTATCCTACCCGTCAGATTGTCCTACCAGGGTTTACTGCGCATGCATTGCACACATCAATATTGCATCCTTTTTCTCATGCTGAACAACAATATTTAATGTATCTGCATTACTGTAAGGGTAGGTTTAGGGTTGGGGTAGGTGTAGACTTTAATAAAACACAATCTAATAGGTAGAAAAAATTATTTATTGTTGGTTTCCT